AAACAAACAAACACAAAAAAAAAAAAAAAAAAAAAAAAGAGAGAGAGAGGAACCGGGTAGTACAGAGTAGAGAGTTTGCAATTTAGGGAATTTAAAAATCTTAAATCTCCTTTTAAAATTTTTTAAAGGAAATGGTAAAATTCAAATAAATAAATGTCCATATATTTTCTTAGAGTTTTTATTTATTCTCCCTTACCTTGTGTTTTTTCTGTACAGAGCATCGAAGCAGAAAATGAGCCTGAAAACGCATGCCTTTCCTCAGATTTCCTTGTTAAAATAGATCATTTAGTTAAGCCCCAAAGACAAGCTATGTCAGAGGCTTCTGCTCGCATTCCTGAGTATGTTGCTTTTGTCTTTCTTACGAATTTTTTCCCAACCTTATTGAGGAGTAGAGTCTATAAAATGCTCAGTGACTTTACCTAAGTTCACATGTGTTACCAGCACTCTAATCAAGATATAGAATATTCTTCTCGGCCAGAAAGTTCTTACTGGTCCCTTTGCAGTCAAGATTGGTCCTGTTCTGATTTCTGTCTTCATAGATTCATTTTGCTTGAACTTCATATATACATGTATGTATGTATATACTCTTTGTGTCTGGCTTCTTTTTCTCAACATGCTATTTTAAAAAATTCATTCATGTTATTGAATGTACCTATAGTTCACTCCTTTTTATTGTTTAATATTCTATTAAATGAACATATGGTAATTTATTTTCCTGTTGACTTTTGGATGTCTTATAATTTGGGACTATTATGAATTAAGGTTCTATGAACACTACTGTATGTGCATTTCTGAGGATGACATACATTTTCATTTCTTTTGAGTAAAAATACCTAATTTTATAAAAAATTTCTAGGTCACATGATAACCATGTGTTGAACTTTAAAATAAACTGCCAAATAGTTTTCCCTAAATAGTTGTACCATTTTATGTTCCCTTAAGCAGTATATGAAAGATTCTTAAAAAGCTTTAAAATGTAAAACTTATGCCAGCAGCATATACAGCTTTAATGAGAATATTATTTAGTATTCTACCTAATGAAAATATTTCTTAGGATCCTTAATTAACTAGTAATTAGATCTAATTAAGTTCTTGAGGAAGATGCCTGAAAAGATAATATATGTTAAATATCTGCTGAATTTAATATAAATGTAGTCATTTATTTTTTAATGAGAGCCAGTAATGCATTTGGAAGAAATTAGAACACTCTTAAAGAATACATGTTCTTGGCACACTCCCTCCGGGCTGTTATCCCTTGCTCCTCTCTCGCTTTCTCCACGTCTCCCTTCTGGAGATGTAGACTCGCCAACCCAGAGCCCACATGGGTTGAGGAGAAACAAATGGGAAATGGGGAGAAGCAACAGAGGCAGCTTGGTCTGTGAAGCCTGGGAAGGAGTTCCCTGAAAGGGGACTTGTAAGTTGAGGAGGATGAGTGGAAATGGCCTAGGCAAGGAGAGTGGGAGAAGTTCCCAGGAGAAGTTCAGTAGGAGAGGGGAGTGGCGGGGGGTGAGGCCAGAGTGGGGCCTAGGGGGTGGGTACTCTTTGGGAGAGCTGGGAAGCCAGGGAGTGACGCAGTCAGGTTTATGTGTATACGACAATCCCCTGGCTGTGGTATGACTGATAAGAAGTAGGTGAGGAGGGGCTATTTTAAAGGAGTCCAGGAGTAAAATAGTGTCAAGGAATAGGAAGAGAATGGGCAGACTAGAGATAGGAGAGCCTCTGCAATGGACTGGATAAAGGGGGATGGCTGCGAGAGGTTCAGCTCCCAGATACCGTTCAGGAAACGTAAGTGGAGGATCAGGTTTGAAGACAAAGATCACAAGTTCATTTCTGTATTTGTGGAAACTGAAGGTGTCTGAGCTGTCCTGAGGTACCATTGTGTAGTGACTGAATAGATAGGACTGCTGGGGGGTGCCAAGTTAGGTGTGAGGGGGAGGTCAGGTGCCCAGAGAGTTGGGGGTGGAGTGGAGCCTGCAGAGACCCTGGGGGGTGGACAGAGAAAGGGGAGGCAGCTGTATGGGGTCCTGGAAGCCCAGGCAAGAGCCAGTGCCCTCGCCAGCAAACATTGCCTGGAGGCCACACCTACATCAGGTGCTTGGAGCAGCCTGTGTCCCTGTGATAGTGAAGGGCAGTTGGGACTGCAACATAAAGGAACCAGGTGAAATGAACTAAGGTGAAGGGCCACCTTCATACAAACTGGGCTTCTGGCAGGTAGAGATCCAGGCTGTGAGGAGAATGAGGCCTATCCAACATCCTCTATAAAAGGATTCCTGCTGTCATCCTCTTCACATAAATTAGATAAGTTGCCATTACAAAACTTATTTTTGAAAACAAATTGTCAGGAAAAACACAAATTAATGCAACACTACATAATTTTAATATATAAAAATAGTTTAAGTTAATGTGGATTTCAAATTCTTAATTTTTACACCTATTCCCTAAGCAGGCAGCTTGATGTGACTGCTCGTGGAGTTTATGCCCCAGAGGATGTGTACAGGTTCCTGCCAACTAGTGTCGGGGAATCACGGACACTCAAAGTCAATCTGCGAAATAATTCTTTTATTACACACTCAGTAAGTTGGAAATATTATGGGTTTTGGAAAAATAAATGCATTCAACTCTGATAACAAACATTTTCCTGATGATTAGAAACTTGTTCTATAGACAATATTTAAGTTGTAATCATTAGCTAATTTTTTTAAATGTTAATATAAAGGTAGGTATGGTGATTCACACCTGTAATTCAGGACTTTGGGCAGCCAAGGCAGGAGGATTGCTTGATCCCAGGAGTTTGAGACCAACCTGGGCAATATAGTGAGACTCCGTCTCTACCAAAAAGAAAAAAAAAAAAAACTAGCTGGGCATGGTGGCACATGCCTGTAGTCTCAGCTGCTTTGGGGTGCTGAGATGAGAAGAGGTTGTCTTTAGCCTGGGAGGTTGAGACTGCAGTGAGCCATGATTGTGCCAGTGCACTTCAGCCAGGATGAAAGAGCAAGACCCTGGTCCCATCCCCCACAAAATGCCTTAATTTTGTATTTGAAAATAAACACACTGGAGGTTCAAAAATTTGTTTTTTTATTTTAATTTTTAACTTTTTTTCTTCTATACTATTATACACACATATTTTTGGAAAACCTTTACTTAAAACCAAAGTAAATTCATGTTAAAATTGTCTTAAATTTGTTTTCATTACATTAGCATCTGTTGTCCTACCTAATTTTGTGGCAATACCTAAATATACAAAATGTATCTGTAATAAATAAATGCATGCTGTGCTTTTATATGCTAAAATATCGAATTTTCATAACTTTATAAAGTTTTTTTTTTTTTTTATTCCAGCTGAAGTTTTTGAGTCCCAGAGAGCCATTCTATGTCAAACATTCCAAGTACTCTTTGAGGTAAGTTTATTTAGATCACAGTGTTCTATCATCAGCGATGCCAGACTTTGTCTCTTGGAAGTTGGGGCTTGTGAGGCCTCCTCTGCAGCCCCTCCATATTTCTCACCAGCACCAAACAGTTTAAGCACATGTGTGTTTGCAAGTCGAAGCAGAGAAAAGGAACCTGCAAGCGGACAGCTCCTGACTGTCCGCGGTGCACTCAGCCTTGCTGCAGTGCACAGCATTTGTGCTGGTGTGACTCCTCCCACCTAGGATTTGTAGCCACATAAATCTTAGAGCTGTAATCATTTTAAGATTGACTTTTAGAGTAATTACTGTTTCAAACGTTATTTTCACTGGTATGCTAAGAGTCAAGGACTTAGATTTTCATTAATTGGGATGAAAACCTTTTTAGATTAATTGGGAAAACTTTTATTGTGGCGTTTTTCAGTTGTCATCCTTCAGACACCCCATACTGTTCTTAATCAGGGCCTGATTTTCTTGTCATCCTTGCTGATTTTCTTTTCTATATGATGCACATTTAGGTTGAAATCTCAAACTGGGTTGTCATTGTTATTTAGAACTTAACAGTAGGGTTCTGTTGGGTTTAATGCTGAAGAATAATTTTAATTTCATATTTGAATTTTTAAGTCATTTAATTATTCTAATGTCTCCAATTTAGGATTAGGAGACTATTCCAGAAACATGTTATATTCTGTGAAAATTTGGGCCACTCTGCAAACATTATGGGCCTGTCATTTAATCAGTTACTAAGACCAGCAGTGCTGTACAAGTGAAGCTCAGTTACAGCTCTGGATACTGGAAAGATGGCTTGATTGAAGACTGTTCCTTCTACCTTACTCTTTGTTTTTATTCTTTTCTCCCTCGTACCACCTCTTCCTTCTCCTATGGACTATAAAATATTTTAATATGCTTGAGGGCTAAACCCATCCTTTCCCTCCCAGGAGACTGACCTAAAGGCACAAACTATAGATTTTAGTTCCGCAAATTCAACAATGAACACATCTAAAAATTATCATAAACTTGATAAACTCTTTGGCCTCAATTTCCTTATTTGTAAAATGGCGATGCCAGTGCTACTGACAGCATAGAATTGTGAGAATTATTTAAGAGACGTGCCCAGACATAGCAAGCATCAGCAGGTGTTAATGTCTTCCTCATGATCATCATTAAATCTCCCCTGTAGATGACCTTGGCTGGCAGGATGCATCAACACTCACTCCACAATTTTTATAGAACTTCACTTTCTTATCTTAGTTTCTTCATTTAATCCCTATGACAACTACATAGAAGAGAAAGGCCCAAGTTTAAAAATCAACCAAATCCAAGTTTTCCAACTTCTGAGATCTGAGCTCTCCTCTCACAGTAGTCTGTGGATCTCTCCAGTTATTCTAGGCTGCCCCAATTGATTTGAGACTAGTGATGCCATAGTGTGCGTAATAATAGGTTGGAACTACTAAAATACATGGTAGCACAACTGCAGAGGCAATTAGTTTATTCAGAAAAAGATCATTTAAATTCCTAATTGTTATAACTATTTTTAGTAACTGAGTACCAAATAGATACTGAATAAATTATCCTGAACACTATTATTATCTAAACTCAAATTTTATCATAACTGCATTATTCATTCTGCTTCCTCAGATTGATTCACATCCCACATCTTAACCAGCTTTTTGCAGGGTATATTTTTAAATGTGCTGTGAGTGGATCAATTGTATAAACTGGCATACATCTGTCACAAATTTGAATGACTTTAGATTTTTATTTCAAGGAGCTCTTCTTACCTTAAAAAATATTTTTTTTAGGCCAGGCATGGTGGCTCACACCTGTAATTCAAGCACTTTGGGAGGCCAAGGTGGGTGGATCACATGAGGTCAGGAGTTTGGACCAGCCTGGCCAACATAATGAAACCCCATCTCTACTAAAACTACAAAAATTATCCAGGCATGGGGTGGGGTGCCTGTAATCCCAGCTACTTGGGAGGCTGAGGCAAGCCAAGATCACGCCATTGCACTCCAGCCTGGTCACCAAGAGTGAAACTCTGCCTCAAAAATAAATAAAATATTTTTAAAAGCTTCTAAACAAAGTTTCATTTAGAAAAATTACCTTTTCCCCTGAGTGTTGAAAATAAAAAATAAAATAAATTACCTTGAAGAGTCTAGTACCAACTTTAAAAACAACAATATTTACATATACCTCGTACTCATCTGTAGTTTTGGTAAAGAATCATTATTTAAAATAGCTTGTTAAATTGCAGCTTTATGTCACTGTTCTCCATTTTATGGCTAGGAATGAGGCAGTCAAAACTTTCTTGCAGTTAAACATTCATTTTCCAACTTCCATTATTGAATACGTTGTCATTTCAAATTCTTTTTTGATGTTATATTCTTTGCTTAATTTGCCTTCACAGATTTTTTTAATGAATTGCATTTCTGCCAAAATTTGTGGGCCAATTCAGATTTGACTCTTTCCAGAGAAAGAACCTAAACCTATTTCATCACAATAGTGCTACAGATGGCATAGTCTATTTCTGATATGGAGTGTAGGGACAAGACCAACCGAGTGGAAATCAGATAAGGGGGTTTTTGAAAGATGCCTAAAACATTTTTAATGAGAAACTCAAATTTTATAAATGAGATGACATTTTGCTTAGCTTCAGCTTGTTTTCTGTAAACCACTTTTGAGATATGAAATGTGTTCCTTGCTGGTCATTTAAAAGACATTTTCATGGACATGAACTTGTTGATTTGCCGTTCTAGGGCTTGAAAATTAGAGTCATAAATTAGAGCACTGCATTCCTGTGCAGCCTGGGTCATGTTAATGGCATCTGAAAGAATCTAGAAACATGAGAAAATATTTTTAAATTAAGCAAAATTTGGACAGTTTAATTAAGTTAAAGTAGTATCTCAAAGTGCATAGTTTGTACTCTGAACATATTTCAGTCTTTTAAAATGAAGATAAATTTGAATAAAATAATTTTATACTTTATTAGTGGCAGACACTTAAGTTATTCTGATTACAATGAATTTCCAGAAAGTCTTCATCAATTATTTTGTAAATACATAATAGTACAGATTTCAGCAGTAGCTTTAATAGCAGTAGCTCATTGTAAATTTTGTAAAGTATGAGTAAGAAAATCATGTGTAAAGCACTAATTCTGTGATCTGTTTAACCAAAGGAACTAAACTCTGGGTTATAGGAAACTTTGTAAGTAAATTTTACACAAAAAAGGTGGAAACACTGGCTCCTTTGTAACAAGAGAATGACCTGTGTTGACCTTGGAGAAGTAGCAGGACAGTAGAGGCAGATGCTACAGGAACCCCAATGACAGTTCTTACCACAGAACTAAAGTCATAGGCACTCATGGCATTATGTGCTGTTATATTTGTCCCAAACATGAGACACTGTGACTTCAGACAAAGGCTCAGAAAACATAATTGCCAGATGAGAACAACAGTTAGCTTGCCTTGGCAGTGGAACAAAATCTGTGCTTTTAAAGCCCTGAGAAGCAATTCCCAGCCTTTAATCACATTTTTCATTTGTTAGATCACTGTCTTCTTTATGACATCATTAATTAAACATTTCCAAAGTAATAATAGGATTGTAGTCATCTGTAGGGTACATGAGATAATTACTTACAAATATGCACTTTTTCCAAGGCCACCAGGAGGCCTGGTGGGGCTGCTCTCTGTAAGCTCTGGCACTAGCACAGGAAAGTGGCCGTGCCCTATAGGCTGTAAACTGATCACAGCAGAAGGAGGCAGAAGAGTTCCCCCAAGAAGGTTCAGGGGTTTTGCCCAGTGCAGAGGTGGGTGAACACAAATGTATGGCAGATTGTAAGTAATGTAATAGGGAAAAGGAAACATTGCTAACAGGTTTTTTTGTAAAGGTTCTTTTTTGAGGGTTCTGAGTGATCGTCTCTTTCTTATATCTTTTTAAAAATAATTTGTTTATGTTTCTACTTAATCCTAAAAAGCATCTTTCTCTTAACCTATTATTTTATGCATATCTAATCCCAGCTGAGGTGTTGTAGCTAATAGGTTTCATCTCAACTGTACCCTCATGTCCTCACACAGTGCAAGCTGCACAGTCCTGGCAGACCCTACATGTAATTTGGGAGAGAAGGACAGTTCCTAGAAAAGTGACAAGCCAAGGAAAAGAGTTATCATTGAGCTGTAGTGTCTTTTCATCCATGTGTGGGAACCAAATTTTATTACCTTTTCGAGTTTCTTTGATAATGGTGGTACCTTGTATGTGCTAGTATACTGGCTTTTTTTTTTGTAGAAAGTATTCCTTTAAAAAAATGTTTTGGGCCGGACACGGTGGCTCACACCCATAATCCCAACACTTTGGGAGGCCGAGGCGGGTGGATCACCTGAGGTCAGGAGTTCAACAGCCTAGCCCACATGGTGAAACCCTGCCTCTAGTAAAAATACAAAAAGTAGGCTGGGCACAGTGGCTCACGCCTGTAATCCCAGGACTTTGGGAGGCCAAGGCGGGCGGATCACAAGGTCAGGAGATCAAGACCATCCTGGCCAACATGGTGAAACCCTGTCTCTACTAAAAATACAAAATTAGCTGGGCATGGTGGCGCGTGCCTGTAGTCCCAGCTACTCAGGAGGCTGAGGCAGGAGAATTGCTTGAACCTGGTAGGTGGAGGTTGCAGTGAGCCAATATCATGCCACTGCACTCCAGCCTGGGTGACAGAGCGAGAATCCGTTTTTTTTGTTTGTTTGTTTGTTTGTTTGTTTGTTTTTTTTAATGAGTGTTTTGAAAGAGGAAGTGTGGTTGCTAGAATTTGTAGGTTCCAGTAAGCCCTTTCCGTGTAGATGGGGCCTGTGGAGAGTTGGGAGCTAAGCGTGCATAACCCGATGGCGCCTCTCCTCCCTGGATGCGTTTCTGTTCTGTGTGCCTTTGCAGTCCAATCCATCATTAGTTAGAGAGAGGATCTGAACTAGACCTCCCCACTGGGCTCAGAGGACTTATCACAATACACTTTTACATTTTTAGCTGAATATAGAACAACTCTATATTCTGTGATGAAATTTGTTAATAATGAGCTCTTCCAGAGATTTGTTTTGGGATATTTTATTATTTTTAATAATTCATAAGTTACAAAGCCTCTTAAATAGGCAGATTGTACCATATTTATCCAAGTATTGACCTGCCAGCATGAAAGAGAAAATTGTAGCTAGTGCCATGGGCCAGATTTGATTTTTTTTTTTTTTAAGTATATTATCTTTGACATGGTAAAACAAGTATAATGGTGTTTGGGGAAAATAACCCAGACTTTAAATACAAATATATGGAGATACACATAAACACCTTTGGTCTATGTAGATATATTTAAGAATATATGTTATTTGTGTTATCAGTTATATACAGGAAAAGGGCTTTGAAATACTGTAGCTGTTTTCTAAACCTTGTGCCTGTGTACTCTTGTGCACCTAAGAGCCTACACTGCTGGGTTTTTCAGGACAGATGCTGGAAACTGAAACGTCCATCACTCTGGTTGCCAGGCTTTAAAACACACAACTCTGAGACAAGACTAAGGGATGAAGTACCTTACCTGTGAGCCCAAAATTTTCACTTAAAAATGGCCAAGCCTAGAGGTTGATGACATCACATGGGCTGTATGAAATGTGTATGTAGCCTCATTCGCCACTGTACTACAGGCGTATTTTGTAGCTCTTAGGACATAGTTTTAGCGACAAAACAAACCCTCCAGAATACTATTTTTAACCATAGGGCACTCATTACCTGCCTCTCTATACTGTAATTTGAATGTAAAGTTTCTAGAGGATTTTTGATGAGAGTTTTGGGCCAGGTGTGGTGGTTCACACCTGTAATCCCAGTACTTTGGGAGGCCAAGGGGACCCAGATCACTTTAGGCCAGGAGTTTGAGACTAGCCTGGCCGACATGGTGAAACCCCGTCTCTACTAAAAATATAAAAATTAGCTGGTGCGGTGGCGGGCGCCTGTAATCCCACTACTTGGGAGCCTGAGGCAGGAGAATCGGTTGAACCCGGGAGGCAGAGGGTGCAGTGAGCCAAGATCATGCCATTGCACTCCAGCCTGGGCGACAAGAGTGAAGCTCCATCTCAAAAAACAAAAAGTTTCATATGAATTTTACAGCAAAATCTGCACAGCCCATTAATTATAGGATTGGGACAAGTTGTTTTAATCTTTCCAGTGCAGTATGCTGTCTGGACTGAGTAAAACAAGGGCATTTCCCCTTTCTTAGGTAGATAGCTTTTGCAAGCAGAATACAAACTGTATGTATGATAGTTTAGACCTCTTATTTCCTTTTTACATATTAATAGTTACTGGATAGCCAGGAAATGTATATGTATGCAATATTGTTTTAATCCAGTTTTATATTTTTCTCTCCTTTGTGTCATTTTCTCATTAAATAATAGCATCAAATAAAGTATAAATACATTTAAGCTGCATGTGACTTGACCAAGCTATTTCGTCAATACCTAAGCCAGGCCCTGTGCTACCTGGGACGGGGTTGCTGGTGCTGCCACGACATGCCCCTGTCATGTGCTTCTCTCTTTCCAGAGCCCAGCATTACATCAACATGCCTGTGCAGTTCAAACCAAAGTCCACGGGCAGATTCGAAGCTTTGCTTGTCATTCAAACAGATGAAGGCAAGAGTATTGCTATTCGACTAATTGGTGAAGCTCTTGGAAAAAATTAACTGGAATACATTTTTGTGTAAAGTAAATTACATAAGTTGTATTTTGGTAACTTTATCTTTCTACACTACAATTATGCTTTTGTATATATATTTTGTATGATAAATTGGATGTCTATAATTGTAAATTTTTTTGTTTTTGCAAGCTAATACTGACGACTTGACTGAAATATCATGTATCTAGCCTACAGTATTGTACTTAACTTTTACAGGTGAGAAGAGAGCTCTGTGTTTGTATTGATTATGATATTCTGAATAAATATGGCACATATTTTAATGTGGTATATCCAGAAATTTTTCAGTGAGCATGTCTTTTTCTATGCTGTCATAAAGAAATTAGAATATCACTTTATTCTGTTAATTATTTTCAAGCTTCTCGGTCTGTTCTATTATTTTTTTTTTATCCTCCATCACACAGTTTCCTCTCGCTAAGAAATTCTTTCTCTGTTTCTTCTTTTAGCTAGTTTCCCAGAGTAGAAAGGACAACCTACCTTTCAAGCAGCTGGTTCTTGTTTTACCGAGAAGGGAAGTCTTCACAGTCTGTGCAAACACAGCAGAGAGATTCCCACGTTGATATCTTGAGTCTTTACTTCTCCTTTGAGCTCATGTGCTGTAGGTAAAGCTAGACAGGACAGCTGCTGCAGAAGCTGGTGCAGATGAGGCAGACTCCAGTGGACACAGGGAGGGAGACAGCAGGCCCTGAGAACCCGTTATGTGGCAGGCTTGAGATTGAGGCAGCGACATGGTTTTACCCAGGAGGAATGTGGCTATTAATTGCTCTTCTCACCATTACTAGAGAGTCACCCGATGAAGCTTTCTGAGCCTCAGCTCTTTGCCTTCGACTTTGAAGCAACAGAATCCCAGATTTATGTAGTAGCTCAGGGATGATCAGAATTGGATATTATGTAGAGTGGGAAGACCTGGGGACTTGTAGAAAGCTGGCCGGATGACTTAAGCCAATTACAGCTGAAGAGCAGTGATTGTGAGCTTGAGAGAAAGACAAATCCCTTCTTTCTTCTTCTCCCTCGTTTTACTTTTGCCGAGTAATTTTTGCTTAGAAATCAAACTTGTAAAAACATTTTTTTTCTACAAGTTAAACAGGTGATACTTTTACTGATACTGCTTGATTTATAGGTTTTGTACATCAAATATGAGATGACTTCATACTTGAATTTGTACTTACTTGACTACATTCAGCCTTAAAAGTTTTAAAAGCTATTGCTTTTTAAGACTGTTCGGCATGGTCTTTTAAGTGTTTGCCAAGGTCAGTTCCTAGTGGTCATAATAGTTCCAATTTGGTGCAACGGTTACTTTGCCTTTCTTTCAGTTTATACTCAGAAGGTCAAAAAAACAGGGTTAAATGACAAAACTGCAAAGGTGACTCTTTCTTTTGTTCTTATTTTGAGACAGACTCTAGCTCTGTCACCCAGGCTGGAGTACAGTGGCACAATCTCGGCTCACTACGACTTCCTCCTGGCGTTCAAGTGATTCTCCTGTCTCAGCCTCCCAAGTACCTGGGATTACAGACACCCACCACTATGCCCAGCTAATTTTTGTGTTTTTAGTAGAGAGACAGGGTTTCACCGTTTTGGCCAGGCTGGTCTCAGACTCCTGACCTTAGGTGATCCACGCCTCAGCCTCCCAAAGTGCTGGGATTACAGGCATGAGCCACTGTGCCCAGCCAAAGGTGACTCTTCTTTAAAAGTGACTTTCTCTGCTCAGATGTATAAAACATTAAAAAAAAAAAAAAAAGTGACTTTCATGGATCTGCAGTTTGTCCTATGCCTCTGTGATTTGGAAACATGGTGCTTGGCATTTTAAAAGCAGGTGGATATGAACAAATGATTTGTGCAACCAGTCACCACTCCTAAAGCAAATGCAGACTACGCTGTCTTTGTGACAGCTGCCAACGTGGAAGAGCAGTGCCCAGGCAAGATTGCAGCAGAGGCTTGGCTTTAGTGAGCCTTCCACCTGAGAACTGTCTTTGTTCCTTCCCATCCCTTCCCACATTGATATAGTGAGTCTCCACCTCTCCTCTGAGCTCCTGACTTGTGTATCAAGCCAGATGTTTCCATTTGTTTGCCATGTAGGCAGCTCAAACTTCTGATTCCCTCCCTCCCTCATGGGCTTCTCCTTGCTTTCCTCATTCTACCTACCCATTTCCTTACCCGCAGACTCTCACATCACTCCCTCTAAAATGAGCCTGCCCCTAACAAATCTTAGCACCAACCACAGTAGCCTGAGCTCAGTCATCTCTGAGGCCACTGCAGTCGTCCTCTCACCAGACCACCTGCTTGCTCTTAGCTCCAGAGCCCTCTCTCCACAGAGGGCAGAGTTACCTTTTGAAAGAGGTAAACCAGAGTCTACATTCCCTGCTCCTGTATGAGGATAATTGCCTGCACATAGCCTAAAGTCCAGGCCCCTTCCTGCAGTCTGAAGGCCCTCACCCCTGGCCACCGCCATCCTCCCTGAGCTCCAGCTGAGCGGCCTCCCTGCTCTTCCAGCCAGCTCAGTGCTGGTGTCTCAGGTTCTTCCCCAGGCTTTGGCATGGCCAGCTCCCCTTCTCAGATGTTCAAAGAACTTCCATCCAAGGCAAGCTCCTCCTCCGTGTATCACACCATCCATTGTGGTATCGCCCTCATGTCTACCACATCTGTTCCTGCTTCTTTGCTCTCCCTCCCATGGAATGTGAGCTCTGTGTGATGGGAGAACTGGCCGGCCCTGCTCACCCACATCTTCAGCATCTGGACAGCCTTGTGTGTCCTGCAGGAATGCAACTGACTGCCCAGCGGCTCTGGTGCGTTTGCCACACCCTCCTGTTCTGCAAGGCTGTTTGCTTACCGCCCTGCTGCCGATGCCCAGCTGTTTCTCCCCACACCCAGTAAACACTGTGTTCTCAGGAGGGCCTCTACCCTTGCCCCAAGATTCTTACCAGTTTTTTACGTGTCCCCAGGACAAATTTCCTAGTAGTAAAACAGCTAAGTGTACTGAGTGCCTCCTATGTGCCAGGCGGTGTCCTACGTGCTCTCTGTGTGCTGTGGTACCCATTCTCAACAGCTTTATAGAGATTGGGCTTTTTATGACAGAGGGACCTGAGAGTGGAGAGGAGGGACAGAGCCCTTCCTCCTACGATCGTCTCTCCATAGTGGCATCTGTGGACAGATAGATGGATTTATAGGAGGCTGGGGCTGGGGCTGGTCTGGCCCATGGAGTTGATACTTGTGTTACGTAAATAAAGTCAGGCTCAGGGGTTAAGTGATAAACTAAAAGTCACACAGCTAAAAAGTTTGAGCTGGGATTCAAACCTTGGTTTTTTTCTGACTTGGGTACCCAATTACAGATGGTAGAAACTGTTCTTAGCATAGAGAAAATGTAGTATTAGTATATGGCTGCTTTTAAAAGTTTGTGTTTGGTCGTAAAGCCACCCTAGGATCACAAGTTAATGTGTCCTGCCAGCTTAGCTTACTGGAGTCCACAGGAGTAAGGATGCTTCTCTTGTCAAGCAGGTAAGACATTTTCCAGGCAAAACCTAAAGTTCTGTAGAGCTCAGTGATGATGAATGTGCCTCATTACTGATCTAATGAGTCCAGAAACGAGACTGTGTACGAGAGCATTTCTTTTTAGTTTTCAATAAAACTGAGGTTGGGATGATTTTGTATATACAATACATAGATTTTTTTGGCACACAGATTTCTGGGCAGAATTACATTGGGCTGTTTCTCACAATTGTGAACTTGTTCTCTTTGCTGTTTCTTAACATTCCCCATCTTCAATTCAGTATTAATTTTTCTAAATTTTGATATTTCACATATTATTTTATGGAGGGTTGATGGAAGCCTTGCTCTAAAGTGAAAAACTATTTTCCCGGCCTCTTCCTGAATTAGACTTTTTAAAAATGTGTCTTTTCCATTAATGAAAACCCACTTGTCAGTTCTCTTAAAGGTCCATTTCCTGGCCACTGCACATTTTTGATACCCACCTTGGTTAGGATGTGTGGGAGTTATATTGTTGCTTCCTAAACTCTCAGAGCAGATTCACTTGGTGTCTGATAATTGTACTCACTCTTAAACTTTTAGGCAAGTGTTTAGGTTTGCTAGTTGGCTTTTACTGAATTTCAAAATGCCACTTTGCGAACCCCACAAACAGGCCCAGCTTCTCATCAGTTCGCTGTCTGGTGTCACTGCCGTACACACTTGGGACTCCTTGCTCCACACCTCCTTCTAGGTCCAAAAATCCCACAGGACCACTTTTGGGGAAATTGTTTGATATCAATTTATTTTTCTTTAAAATAAGGATTAGTTTGTTGTTTTGCATTTTTATACTGTTTCCTGTATTACCTGAGCATGGATAGGAGAATGAGCAGATAGCTTTAAAAATGTTCAGAGCAATGCCATTCTAAAAATAGTTCCTTTGTAAAAGGATTATTAGAGTAAGAAATATGTGGATGCTTAGGCAGCTTCTAAGGTGGGCCACAGTGGTCCCTGCGTGGCCTTGTGCATTCCTTCCCTCCAGCCCTTGTTTCGAATCAATAGAAGGCCTCCACATTGAGGGAAATTCCACCTGCCTGATACCATCACAAAAGATTCCAACTCTTGTCTTGCTATCAGACCCTCCCTTGCTGGCCTCAGTAAAGCAAGCTGCCATCCCAGGCAGGGCCACGTAACAAGGAATCAAGTGAGGCCGGAATTGACCGGCAGCCAGCTGTGTGAACTGAGGCTCCCAGCCCAGCAGGCTGGAAGGAAGTGGATCCTGCTGCTGCCAACTGAAGGCACTTGGAAGTAGGTCCTTCCTCAGTCGGGCCCCAGATGAGCCCCCTGTCCTTGGTGACATCACACCTACAGCCTAAGAGCCCAGAGCAGAGGACCCAGCTAAGCTATGCCCAGATTCCCGATCCCAGACACTAGAAAATCAAGTGTCTGGGATCGGGACACTTGAAACCTTGGCACCTGTGGAAATACGTTCCACAGCAGATAACTAACACAGCAGGTGTTTAATTAAAAGAGAAACACCACTGCAGATGTAACCAGCTCTTTCAGCCACCGTGATAAATAATTGCTTATAAAAGATTGAGACAAGCCAACAACTGTTGATCTTTAAACCTTAAATAAAACACATACTTCCATCTTTTTTTTTTTTTTTTTTT